TCCACGACCACGACCACGTCCGCGGCCACGAACACGTCCACGACCACGACCACGACCACGTCCACGTTACCCTTATTGGTAACGGCAAGTGCTTTTGCTGCTCTTTTCTTTTCAGATTCTAAACGTTTTCCTTCTTAACTTGTTCCTGTATAATTTTTAAAAGTGAGAACATTACTGAGTAATAAAAGGAACTAAACAGTAGGAGGGATAATGGGTACAAGGGTGCATATATTAGATGGCGGCTTATGGGAATGTGGCTATTAGTTAAAGGATTCATGTATAAGAGGCAACATGATACAAATAAATGGAAAGGGCCTACATTTAAAGGGCTAACAGGGTAGCTGGTGGGATTTGGGCTAGCAGGTAGGTCCACGACCACGATCACGTCCACGTCCACAACCACGTCCACGTCCACGTCCACGACCACGACCACGTCCACGTCAACGACCACGTTCACGAACACGACCACGACCACGACCACGACAACGACCTCGACCACGTCCACGACCACGTCCACGACCACGACCACGTCCACGACCACGTCCATGTCCACGACCACGTTCACATCCACGTCCACGACCACGATCACGTCCACGTCCGCGACCAAGTTCACATCCACGTCCACGACCACGTTCACGTCCACGTCCAAGTCAGCGACCACGTTCACGTCCACGTCCACGACCACGTTCACATCCACGTCCACGACCACGATCACGTCCACGTCCTCGACCACGTTCACATCCACGTCCACGACCACGTTCACGTCCACGTCCAAGTCAACGACCACGTCCACGTCAACGACCACCTCCACCTCCACCTCCACATCAACGACCACGACCACGTCCACATCCACGACCACGACCACGACCACGACCACGTCCACGACCCCTACCGCGACCACGACCACGACCACGACCACGACCGCGACCATGACCACGTCCACGACCACGACCACGTCCGCGGCCACAAACACGTCCACGACCACGACCACGACCACGTCCACGTTACCCTTATTGGTAACGGCAAGTGCTTTTGCTGCTCTTTTCTTTTCAGATTCTAAACGTTTTCCTTCTTAACTTGTTCCTGTATAATTTTTAATTCAGACGCTTTCTTCCGTTGGTCAAATATCTCATCTGCCGTTATAACAAAATACTCCTATACTGGTCTTTTCTTTGGTAATTTGGGTAACGGAAACAGTTCATTGGCAACTGAAGAGGCTGATAACGACAGAGCTTGTTGTACTGGCGGGATAGGAAGTTTTGGAGAAACAGACAATGAATTATACAGCGTGGATAGCAAGGAAGAGATTGTCAACGAAGCTGGAAGTGGTGGTGGCGGCGAGAAGAAGATGGGCAGATAAGGCACAGAAATTGATGCAGAAGAGTTATATACTTTGTTAAAGTAATGCTTCCATGTTTGAAATAGAGGATCGTTTTGTTTAAATCTGGTTAAAACACCAGTCTAGCTACAACAAACGATCTATTTAAAGTCAATGAAACATGATGTTGAGTCGGACAGGGGCCGACTTAATATCAATTGAACATATTTTAGTGTCCGACTCAATATCGAATTGGGTACTTTTGTTTAAACTTGAAAAACAAAACACTAGTTATATTAGAAGATGCTTTAAAATGTCTAGAAAATAACGTTATTCTAACATATTTATTTACTTTCAGTATGTTCTTTTCTCTTCATGCAAGAGCTTTATCAAATCCCAGCCGTATCATTACGATTGAAACTGAACAATTTTTACTTGGATTAGCTCAAAATTCCTTCTGACTGGACTTTTCTGGGACCGTGTTGAAAAAGACAGGAAGGGCACTAGTAACCAAAGAAAGATAACTCTATGTTCACAAGAAGCTTGTTTACGCATAGATCGGATTGCGAGGATAGAAAAACACTATATCGTGTCCGACTCACTGTCATCCTGTTCCATCATGTATTATTGTCACCCATTTGTATATATGTATTCTCTACACCGTATTGTTTATGAGAATAAAACAATTGTCATTGTCATTGTACGTGTACATGTCACTGTAGATAGGGTCACCTGGTCTTGGTTGGCTGACTACGATTACACTCAAAGCAAAGCTTGCATAGCTTGAAACATGGCACGTACGACAAGCATTGACATCACAGTTCAAACTGGTACAAACAAATGATGGACTGAATCTCACTGGTCCTCCCTGGGGGCTCAATTGAAACCGAGGGGTATTTTTGGGTGACTAAACAACCCAACATCGACGTTTTGATACCGAACCAGTGATTTATTGTAGGTTAATCTAACCCTGCAACGATACACATATACAATACTTTTCTACACATGCACATAACGCTATCGATACATATATAACAGATACGAGTACAATTTGACATTGAACACAATTAGCTCCAAAACTCTGAGTATAAGTCTGCATTTTTTTCCGGGTGTACAATGATTAGTAATGATTAATAATTTGAAAAGAAAAACAAACGCAAAAAAAAATGTCAATTATGTGGTTTGACGGAGTTTGTCGAGATATTTTTTCACCGGAAGGTTGAAAGTCGGTCATCACCAAGGAAACAACATATACAGCTCAGATACAAGATCGTTCCTTTAGGAAATCTGTAAGGTAAGACTGCATCTAAAATGTTGTAATCGTTCGCCAAGTTATATTATATACCTGATATTACAGTTTTTACATGTTAAGATATACATAGTATTTGTTATGAATAGCACGGCTTATAGACACAATCTGTCCTGAGTACGGCTGTATCATTGGAATCGTTTACAACGGTTTCAAAGTTCTTTATTAATGCACTTTAACTTTCGTTTTGCATTCGCGGAAGGGAATGAATAGCAGGCGATTGTGTTGTTGTAGTGTGCTACCGCTAAACATTAAATACATACGAGATTCTATTTGAAACGTGTTTAACAAAGGCAGACCAACTACAGTCAGTCTTTCATTCCATCTAAGTTCATTAACTTGTTATATGTTAACAGGCCATGTCGTACTAGTTGTCTTTAGCTTTTTACATGCACGTGTTTTATCAAAGTATAGTTATTATTAGTTTTTGTTAAATGACAATAAATTAACAAATGGACAATCAAAAGCTGTCAAATATTGCTAAACAAACTATAATATATAGATGAATTTACAAAACATTTGCAAAGACAAGATTATAACTTAATATTGTAAATAAAAATTCTATAATTGTGTTTGAAACTCGTTATTTACAAAAACATTCTTTAAATAACAAACGTTAAAATTACATACACTGTAAACCTATTAGTCAATTTAATCAACTTTTGACTGGTTATCAACAATGTTCAAATTTCTCCCGACTTCTGTCCAATATTTGTGTATAATGTAAAACACATAATTTTAGCTTATCAGGTCCGGAATAAAATCGAATAATCGTCCGCCGTGGACATGTTGACTGCTGCAGAGAGTGTTCTCACAACACATACCTGTGTAAAGTGAAATGACTTCTACCTTCGGTACAGTGGACTATGTTTTATTAATAAAATATTATC